TTTTCAACCAGTGGGTCACAAGAGGCACAAAGGTGTGCTGCAAGAATTTTTAAAAGATGAAATACCTGACTATTTGGCTGGGACCACTGACCTCTTTTCCCTTAGACTGTCAAAGTTAAAAATGACAATAGCCAACACAAAAATAACCATGTGCTGTGAATGAATTGAAAATACGCCTTTTTTATGTTTTTTATTTGTTGAGCTGTATCATTGTCATCATTAACATGGTAAATTTATGAATCCCAGAAGAAAAAGAGTCAACCAAACCTTGAATTTTTAAATAACTACCATGAACCACATGGAGAACTAAGAAAGAAGATCAAAATTTAGGAAACAATAGGTAAACAAGATGACCACATAAAATTTTTAAAAGATTTTTAAAACAAATTCACCATATTTACACTTTCCTTTAAATAACACATAAATAAACATACAGAGACATAAAGACTGATTCTCTCATATAACTGAATCATGTTGCCAGAGAAAGTTCAAGTTAGTTGCTTATCACAGAGAGGAAAAATTTCTACAACTGAGACATGACATAGAACTTTGTGTATTCATGTTCAAGTTTATTCACAATACTGACAAAATTTCATTATCCTTTTTGCCTTTTTATACCTATTTTGTTAGATTGTCAAAAATATAATATATTTCCAGTGTGCAGCAGACTTTTAGTAATGAGTTTACATGTGCCATGAGATGAAAAAGGTTAAAAATTGTGGCATTAGACCAAACACACCTGATAGACATTGTAGAACATTCTACCAATAGCAGCAGAATGTTCATTCTTCTAAACTGTACACAGAACATTCTCCAGGAAAGATCATATGATAGGACACAAAAAATTCTTGGCAAAGTTTAAAAAATTGAAATCATACCATGAAGCTTTTTCATCCATAAGGGTATAAAATTGGAAGTCAACAACAAGAGCATAGGTGGAAAATCTACAACTATGTAGAAATTAAACAACACACTCCTGAACAACAAATGGGTCAAAAAATAAATCAAGAAGGAAATTTTAAACTCTCTTGAAACAAATGTAAATAAAAATACCACATACCAAAACCTATAGGATGCTGTAAAAGCAGCTCTGATAGGAAAGTTTATAGCAATAAATGTATGCATTAATGAAACAGATCTCAAATAAACAACCTAACTTTTAATCTGAATAACTAGAAAAAAAAACCAAAATATGCCCAAAGTTAGCAGAAGTAAGGAAATAAAAAAAAATCAGAGCACAAATAAACATAGAGACCAGGAAAACAATATAATAGTCAAGAGACTAGGAGCTGACTTTCCAAAAAGAAGAAACAAAATTAACAAAACTTTAGCTAGATTAACCAAGAAAAAAAAACAGAAGACTTAAACAAAATCATAAATGAAATAACAAACCTTATAACTGATACTACAGAAACATATAGGATCACAAGAGACCACTATGAAAAATTATAAACCAACAAATTGGAAAAAATACAAGAAATGGATTATTCTCTAGAAACATACAATCTGAAAATATTGAATAGGGAAGAAACAAAAAATTTGAAGAGATTGAATCTGTAATCAAAAAACTCAAGGCCATGAACAACAGTGCAGTGATTACTGGAGTGAGGAGAGTATAAGGAGACTAAAAATACAACTAAAAATAAAATCAAAAAGATAAATAAATAAAATAAGGACAAAAAACTAAATGAAAAAATAAGTAAAATAAAGAAATACAGGACAGGAAAAAACACTTCCCAATACAGGACCAGATAGATTCACTGACAAATTCTACTAAACACTTAAAGAAGAACAAATGCCAATCCTTCTCAAGCTCTTCCAAAAACCTTGAAGAAGAGGGAACACTACCAAACTCATTTATGAGCCCAGTATGGCCCTAATACAAAAGCCAGATAAACACACTGCATAAAAAGTAAGAACAACAACCATAAACCAATATCCCTGGTGAATATGGATGCAAAACTTCTCGACAAAAAATTAGTAAAATGAATTTTAAGATACCTTTCAAATGGTTATGCACTCTAACCTGGATGCAAGGATGGTTCAACATGTGCATATACAAATATGATATAACACATTAATAAAACAAGAGATAAAAATCATATGATCATGTCAATACATGCAGAAACACCATTTGACAAAACACAACAAATTTTCATGATTAAAACTCTCAACAAAATAGGTGTAGAATAACACACTTCGACACAATAAAGTTCATATACAAGAAACCTGCAGCTAACATTATACTCAATGGTGGAAAATGGAAAGCTTTTCCTCTCTGGTCAAGAACAAGACAAGTATGCTCATTCTCACCACTTCTATTCAACAAGTACTGGAAATCCTAACTAGAGTATTTAGGCAAGACATAAAATAAAAGGCATCTAAATCAGAAAGGAAGAAATAAAATTGTAATTACTTGCAGATGATATAATCTTATATACAGAAAAACCTAAAGAATCAACCAAAAAAACTATTGGAACTAATCAACAAGTGGAGGATATAAAAATCAACATACAGATATCAACTGCATTTCTACACACCAACATCTGAAAAAGAAATAAAACTATCACATTCAAAATAGCATGAAAAAGTAATCAAATACAAATAAATTTACCAAGGAGTTAAATATCTATACAATAAAACTATAATAATTTCGTGAAAAGAATTTTGCAAAAAGAATTTCAAAAAAACTCAAGTGTGGAAATATCTGATGTTCATATATTAAAAGAATTAATATTGTTAAAATGTCCATACTACCCAAAGCCATCAATAGAATCAACACAATCCCAGTAAAAACCCAATGGCATTTTTCCCATAAATACAAATAACTCCCAAAATTCATATAGAACCATAAAAGATGCAGAATAAACAAAGCAATTATGAAAAAAACAAAGCCAGATGCATTACACTTCCTGATTCCAAACTGTTATATATTCCAATGGTGTAGTAATTAAAATGGTATGATAGGGGCTAAAAATAGGCACAGAGACCAATGGAACAGAACAGGGAGCCCAGAAATACACCCTGACATATACACTCAACTAATATTTGACAAGGAAACCAAGAACATTTAAGGGGGAAAGGATAGTCTCTTCCACAAATGTTGGCAATATTGGATAGCCACATACAAAAAAAATGAATTTGGATCCCTATTTTAAATAAACTCAAAATGAATTTAAAACTTTAACATAAGACCTCACACCTAAAACCCCTAAAAGAAAGTGTAGGGCAACCTCATTATCATTGGTCTCGGCAATAAATAATTTTTGGAGATAACATCAACAGCACAAGCAACAAAAGCAAAATTCAACAAGTAGGATGATATTATAGTAAGTGGACATTATGTTAAGTGAGATACATCAGACAGAAAAAGACAAATACTGTAGGGTATCACTTACATGTGAAATACAAAACAAATTAAAAACAGAAAGTAGAATGGTAGTTACCAGGAGCTAGGTGAGTGAATTGGGGAAATGTTTAAAGGCACAAACTTGCAACCAGTAGAAAAATAAATTCTGGAGCTCTAATGCACAGCATAGTGATTATGGACAACAATAATGTATTATAAACCCAAAGTTGCTAAGAAACTACATCTCAATTTTCCACCACAAAAAAATAAACAATAAGTAATGATAGAGGTGTAAGCTAATGCTATGCTGGCGGTTATTTTTGCAATACATAAATGTATAAAATCAATACACAGTACACCTTAAATTTACATAATGTTAAATGTCAATTATATCTTAATATTATTTTTAAAATGATAACATTAGTACTTATGTTGTTGAAAACAAGGGTGAGATAAGAAATGTGTGTGAAATTTATTCCATTTTTAAGTATTGTCATGAAAACCATCTTATTTGTTTATTCAAAGAGGCCTAAAATAATGTGGAAGTGGACTGACTGGTTTATATGAAAATGAACAGAAGGGGAGCCATAGGAACAGAGATGTTGAAAAGAGGACCCAGGAGTAGAAGGGCATGCACTTTCTAACTACTGGAGATGGTATTGTCAGGTGCAAATAGCCACAGTGTAAAATAGGGATTAATTTTGTAACCTATTCATAATCTGTAGCACCACCTTGTCCCATGAAACTAGAATTATTCCTAAGGGAAGTGTCTGTTCTGATTATGATAGTCATAGGGCAATAAATTCTCTGTGATGTGAGAAAAAGAAATGAAAGACAGACTGTATACTTACTACCATCAAAAGCTCTGTATCTTTATGAGGCTTTTACTTAGCAACCAGAAATGAAATGAGAGGAAAGCCCATGGTATGCAGTCAATAATCATGATACCTTGATCTCTTTTTCACATTTTTTTCATTTACCTGAAAATTACTTAAATGAAATTTATAGGGGTGACATTGGTTCACAAAATCATACAGATTTCAAGTATAGAACCCAATAAGACATCATGTGCAACTGCATCATGCACCCATTGCCCTAAGAAAATCTCTTTCCAACCCTGTTGCCCATCCCCTTTGCCCACCTCTACCTATATCCAAAGAAACCTGAAATACCTAAGAATTTTTTATCTCTCAAATCCTAATTTTCTATTAACTTTACTTTTGGTTCTTACTGTTAGATGCTTCTTCATTCTTTGCACCCACAACATGTGACATTGAAGATCTAGACCAAATTAAACAAAAATAATTTTTACTTGGTCCATGGGGTGGTAGAACTGTCTCAGAAACAGTACATCTGACTGATCTCACCAGCTGCACTGAGCCAGCCATTGAGCCAGACCTGTGGGGTGCAGAAAAGAAAGCCACATGTATTTTTTAAGTATAGATTTACTGTATCAGATTTGTGGGAGGGGGGTGGGGTACGAGTATCACCTGACATGAAAAAGCCTTGTATCTCATATAAGGAGATATGTAAGATTCAGCATCTAATTGGTGTTTGAAATCCAGAAAGTTTCCTTTTACATAGTGTCTGATGGCAAGGAAGATGTTAACTAGGGTTTCTATTGGCTGCTGGAAGATGGCGATGTCAGGCGATGGGACTATATAACCCCCTTCCTGCTGTAGGAGCCCCCATTAAGGACCCGGAAGATTCCTTGAATGGTTTGAGAAAGCTAAGACTATTACCTGTAGACATGAGGGTCAAAAAGACCATGAATGGACACTGCTTCCTCCAAGGACTTGCTTTTTTCCTCTTCAGTGTTCTAGCGAGTGCTCAAGGTAAGCGTAGCCTCACTTCTTAAAATCAGCAGTGATACTGGATTAGCTCTAACAGTCTGGGGAGATGATCCTTGGAATTGTAAAGACAATACCTCCCTATAGACCATTTGGTTTTCACCAAATGTAATCTTTAGTGACAGTGAATGTTAATTTTTTTCCTGTGGGGACTCTGTTTCTCGAGTTTAAATGGGAGATGTTGCAGAGATGTAAACCTTGTTCTCAGATTAACCCAAATCTGTGTTTCATGCCTCTCCAACACCTAAAGCTCAAATCACCTGCAATGGATTATGGCTGAGGGTCTACCCCAGGCTGAGTCTCTGATCTGTCCTTCCTCTATTCTATATTATGTCTCTCTCAACTGGTATTCTGATATTTCTTCTCTTTTAGCCATTAGATTGTGTGTGTACATACATGTGCATGAGTTTGTTGGAGAGAGAGAAATGGGTAAGGGGAAGTTTGAAGAGTATGTGAAGGTGAAATATGAAAGCAAGAATATGTCTTCCCAGAGAAATCAATATTTCAGATAGGAATCCATAGATCTCACACTCTCTGTGCCAGACATTTGAACTTGGTGGAGGAAGTGGTAGTGGTGGCAATGATACATGTGCATGTGCATATGATGAGGGCAGAGATGGAAACCTCCCTGCCTGTAAAGAAAGCCCTCCCAACATGAACTGTAATTACACCCCCAGATAACTTTACACCTGCAACCTAAGCCTGACTTTGAGTTATTGTTTTTTTTAATCTTCCCCACAAACCCACAGCTCTGATGTTTTTCTGCTTTACTCTAGTTTTTTCCCAGTTTGGGGTTCTTGGCAGAATTTTGGCTTCCTGTCTGAGATATTTTCCCTTCCTAACACTTGGACTGATGGTCCTCAAACCCCATTGTGCAACACAGAAAAGTGACCCCAAATGTAGGTGATTAAGGGTGAATTAATATTAGCATTGAAGGCAGAAGGGAAATGGAGCCCCAGAGACTTCAGGATGTACCTCTCTTGGTCAACCTTGCCCTGCCCCACTGGGGTACATGAGCTTGTTCTGTGACATCCTAAAAGATCTGATAAGAATCCTGTCCTTATCAACATCCCATACTTAATTTTCTCTCTTATAGTTCCCACAGATCCTACATGAAAACTGGCTCCCATTGGGCCCCTGACTCAAAATATCTTATGCAAGCTCCTAAAATGTGAATAATCTAGCCACATGCCTGGAGAGCTGGCTCTTGTAGGTGTGGGCCTTGGTCTTTGGCTGCTTTTGCAATGTGCCTCACCTCTCTATCCCTTCCCCTTAACCCATCTTTCCTTTTTATCTCAAGCTCCTCTAGTCAGAAGTCTTTGTCTCTCTTCTTTGGAAAATTCTACTCCTCCCAAGCAGAAGTACTGTTTCTCACTCCCTTGTTATATTTCTTGAAGCTTCTAGTTTATTGGGTTTTGGCCACATGCTAATAACAGTTGATTTTTATTTTTATCTGTATTAATGGCTTGTCCCATTATAGTCATGAAAATTCTCTCTTTAACTCAACTAGTGTATCTTGCTTTGAAGTCTACTTTTTTGTGATATTTTTATAGCTCTTCCACTTGAATTATGGTTAGTATTTGCATAGTATATAAATACATTTTTTAATTTTACTTTTATACTTTTTTCTTCATCTATGTTACCTTGCATATAACATTTACTTGAATTTTGTTGCTTTATTCAAATTGACTTTTACTTGAAGTATCTAATCCATTTACATTAAGTGCAATTACTGATAGTGTTGGGTTAGTGTTTACCATTTGCTTCTAATTGACCCACCTGCTGTATATTTCTTCTTCTCTACTCTTTTTACCTTCTTTGTATTAGACACTTTTGTTATTATTCCATATTTTTCTCCTTTTCTTTGATTTTCAGCAGCTTTACTAGGGGTGGGGCTTTTCATATCTTTCTTAGGGCCCTTTGAGCTTCTTGAATATATATGTTATATTTTCCATCCATTTTTACATTCTCAGACATTATCTCTTCAGATATTACTGCTGTGGCACTCTTTGTCTCTGTCTCTGTGTGAGTGTGTCTCTCCATTCCTCATCCTCATCCTCCTTCTCTTCTCTAACGCACTAATTCTGTCTTAAGTTCTATCTAAACTTCTTATAACCTATTCTTTTAATTCTTAATTTTAGACATTTTATTTCCAGTTGGCATTGTTACATTGACTTTTTATATATATTTACAATTTTTGTTTTATTCTTTCACCTTTTTACCTGTTTTTTTACTCTCCCCTCTTTTTCTTAAATATGTAGAATCATAGCTAAAATCCATATCTGCTAACATCACCATCTTTATCGTGTGTGTTTGTCTCTTCTTTTTTTCCACTTTGTTAATTTGTCAAATGATCTCATCTCTTTACGTGTCATGTAAGTTTTTATTGAATGCTCTAAATTGTATATGAAAAAGATATTCAAGATATATTGTCTAACATCTGAAAGGATTCATCTTCTGTTCTACTAGACAGGTGGGGGAGGGAGGCTGATCACCCTAATATCTAAATACAACCTAGAACTGAGCTGGAACAAGTCTGGATTGTAGTTTTGGTAACACTCAATTTACCTCTGATTTTTCCCTGTTTCTATGGCATGGGGACATGGGGATTCCGGTTGAAAGCCTGCATGTTTTGGTAGCTTAGCACCCAAAAGAATGAGGGAATATCCACTCTGCTTTCCAAAATTTTTTACATAGCTCTTTGGCCTTCTGCCCTTCACAGCTTTTATACTTGGCAAATATTTGAGTAGGAAACCTGTTGTATGAGAGTGGCCTGCAAGCCTCCAATTTTGCCACTCCAGTACCAGGTAAGCCCTAAATTATGCTGGCTTCTTTGTCCCAACAGGAGTCCTCTGCCTTGCTTAAGCCCAGATTCTGTGCTATTAGCCCATGCACTGAATTGGAAAATTCCCATAGAGAAAAAAAAAAAGCTGTAGGCCTGACAGTCGCTGCGCCGGCAGAGCAAACACTGAAATTATCTCCATTATTTGGAATTTTAGCATGTATAGCCTGTGCGGTATCCACCAATATCTAATACCTTTACTTTTTTTTTAACATTTCTCATCTCTTTTTTTGTACCCAGTAGGACCATTCCTAATGGAAACAAAAGTTCTAGGTTTTAGTCTCTACTCATCACTTACTTAGAGGAAACTGATAGACATTATTTAACTTCTCTTTACATCCCATCTTCATGTGTAAAAATCAGAGAAAAATAATACAGTGGACCTGTCAAAATTGCCTGTTCAAATACTTTCAGAGCAGGAATATAACCTGTTTCTGCTCTATGATCAAGTTAGAAATACATGGTATTTTTCCTGCAGAGAACAAATAACTTCATATTTTCAATAGTAACAACTCTTGACATGAAGATTAGTTTGGAGAAAGAAGCAACATTCTATGGTTTCCAGTGGAATGTCTGGCCAATGCCAATCAATATCATCTGACATTATCTCTAATGTGATGCATGGGTCACCGGCCAGCAGTGATCACGGAACGCTGCAGATGGCTCGACGAAAACACGCGAGAAAAAACATGCACAGAGACAGACTAGTTTCTGTGGAGAAGTAGGGATGGAATGGCCACCCCATCTAGTGGGGAGCGCGCCGATTTACCATCCAAACCTGCTTTTATTGGGCTCGTTTTGCATAATAATTCAGGTAAAGTACAGTACTCATTAGGGGGAAGTAAGGAACAATAGATAACAAGGAACTCGGCCGGTCTATTTTGAGTCGGGGTCAAAGAGCTGTAAGACTTTGAGGAACAAACTAACTTCCTCCTTGGACCCTTCTCATTCAACTGAGAGCATTCTAAACAAAGGAGGTTTCACAGTAATTTACATGTTCTTTCTTAGGCCTGATCACCCGGGGAATCCGCCCTTTTCAGCACAGAGCTGCACCACCCTGTCATTGTTTCTGGCTTAGGTGGAGCAAGGGAACTAAGGCAACCAAAAGATAAGGACATTTTCTCCCAGACTCAGGCTATGTCAAAGCTGAGGAGCGAGGGTCCATCACCCCCTTTTGCTGCAGCCCCCAAAGTCCTTCTTTTGGGGGGCCTCCCAAGTGATCCTGCCTGTCTTAGTTCATTCCCCCCTTGGGGAATCTTACCTGTCTTTGGCTAACCGACCAACCTTTGGGGTTCAGTTATGAATGAAGCAGCAGAAGCAGCACTCCTTCCAGGAAGATAAGCTTTTCTCTCCTTGCTGGCTTACAGTTCCAAGGGTGTTCCCTTAGCCTTAGCCTAGGTGGGGGTTACAGCTTCTGATACCAGGCAGGATGGTTCCCAACACTAATGTAAGGATGTTCAATCTACCTAAAGAGAAGTACATTTTTTTGAAACTAAGTATTCAAATCTGGAGTCTTAAGCCTAGAATGTAAATGAAGTGTTCTGGGAGAAACCATGACCTGTCTCATGGTCAGTTTTTCAGCTCTTGAGTACTATATACCAAGAAGAACAATTCTGATTGGGATGGAATTGATGGCTGCTACCTGACACTTCTGAGTAGCTCACCCCAGTTTCTCATTTCATTCTCTTTAATCTAATTCTTCTAGTTCTCAGGTCATTGGCACCAAAGTGTGAAAAAAGCCAGCAGTAAAAGACCAATACCATATGATCTCACCTACAAGTGGAACCTAATAAAAAAACAAACAAATGATCAAAATAGAACCAGAGACTTGGAAATAAAGGACAAACTGACTATGACAGAAGGGGAGGAAAGAGGGGAATAATGGGGGTGGGAGGAGAAGCGGAAGGGGCAAGAAAAGAAACACAAATAGAGGACTTATGGGCACAGACAATGGGGGAGGATTGACTGTGGGAGTAAGGGAGGGGAAAGAAAGGGGTGAGCAATGGGGAAAAGGCAGCACAACTGTAACTGAACAGCAATAAAAAAAATATTAAAAAAAAGAAAGAAATCCTTCCAGCTGGTAGCCCACTACAGTGACTCTGAACTCATATGCCTGCTCAGAGTAGGGATTCTAATGTTTCCTGTATATCTTTTACAGGTACTATGCAGAACTCTACAAGTCAGAAGATTAACTTCAGATAGGACCCATGTAACAATTTTCTATCTGAGACTACTCACCACATTATTTTCACTTAATTTTTCCTGTATTTTTTCTTCTAATTTTCAACCCTATTTCTATTTTTTAATTCTAATACTCTCTTATTACTGAGGTAGGGAGCCAGACCTAGGTGTGATCCCAGTGCAGCCCAGCTGCTCGGGTGAATTTGCCCCACAGGACCAGAAAACCCTTTTCTCTTTCCCTGTGTAAACTCTCCATTGGTCTCTCTCTCCTCAGACAGTGGACAGCTCCGCCTGGTGAACGGGGACAGTCGCTGTGCCGGCAGAGTGGAAATCCTTCACCAGGGCTCCTGGGGCACCATCTGCTCCGACAAATGGGACCTGAACGATGCTCAGGTGGTGTGCAGACAGCTGGGCTGTGGGGAAGCCTTCAATGCCACAGTTGCTGCTCACTTCGGGGCAGGATCAGGCCAGATCTGGCTGGATGATGTGAGCTGCACAGGAAAGGAGTCCTACCTGTGGAAGTGCCCTTCCAGGGGCTGGGGACAACACAACTGCTGGCACAGGGAGGATGCAGGGGTCGTCTGCTCAGGTCTGCTCTGCACAATGTCAGTTGTCTGGGGAGGAGATGGGGACATTCAGGGATGGGAGTCTGAGCTCTGGGGTGGAGGTAGGGTTGTTGCTGAAAAGACCAGAGGAGAAGGAAACTTCCTTCCACAGTGCCTGTGCTGACTGCTTAGCTGTGGAGAAGCCCTCAAGGCCACTTACTTCTGGGCAGGATTAGGATGAATCTGGCAGGACAGTGTGCAGTGCACAGAAAAGGAGTCCCATGTGTGGAAGTGCTCTTCCCATGGCTGGGGGCCATTATATGCAATTATGGGGAGAATGCAAGAGTTATTTCCTCAGGTATGGTCAGGGCATTGTCCACCAGGTGAGAGAATGGCAAGTCCCAAGGAAGCTGGTGTCTGATTACTGGAGCAATAGAAAATGAATGGCAAAAGAATCTGAGACATCTACCCATCATCCCCAAGTGCACAAAACACTTGTGAATAATAGGATTCCTCTACTTTCTTCTTATTGTCTCAACTGCTATTCTTTCTTTCTTTGGTGACAAAATAGTTCATTGTAGGATTACCTCAATTAAATTCAACCTTCATGATTTTTTAAAATTTTACTTTTGTAAGAATGATTTTACAAATCCCTACACATATTCCCTTTGTGAGCCACCCTACAAGAGGGAGGGTAAAGAATGAAGATGTACTTTCCTAGGATGAATTGTTTCTGTGTATATAATGTAAGACACTGTTTTGCACTAGATTAGCAAGAATAGAGGCACAGAGGATATCATAAAACAAATCAGAGAGGAATTTTGGGATTTGTGCCAAATGGCAATTCTCTTTTGCAAATTCAAGCCTAAGTGTTTGTAGTCTTTGGCCAGTAGAACCAGAAATCTTTGGATGAAATGCTTTGAGTCATAGGTTCTCAATTCATTGTAACATGAAAAGATTCTTAATTTTTTCTTTCAAAACATTTGTAAACACAAATTTTGCAGGGACACCTGCATTGGCAAGTCAATGGCAAAGGTAATAAAATATTAATTTATGTCTTTTATGTAAGAATTATATAGTTTTTACTTGACAGCTCAGGGCATTTGGGGTTTTTTTGTTAAAAATTGCAATAAGGGAACAAACAATTTTTGAAGAAGGAGGAAAGGGTTCACAGTAGCTGTGGGTGGTGAGAATGACAATAAGATCTTGCAAAGGACACATATGGGGTTCTCTGAGCAGCACAAAGAGCCCAGGGGTGGTGTAGAGAAGGCTCCAGGTAACTTTATGTGAATTCTGTGTGGCTGGTTGTAGGGATTGAGAAGAATGAGTTGTAAGGTGGACTCAAGAGTGAGACAGGGAAAAGGTCAGAGTGATAGAAACAGGACCCCACAGGTGAAATTTTCAGTAACTTGCCTAAGGACACAGGATATCTATATAGCAGGACACCAGACAGAGATATATCTGACCCTAATTTTCATTCAGCTTTGGGTGAGGTCGATAAACACAAATGTCCCTCTGATTAAGCAGTTTCATTTTCTTTGTGCTGTCCAGGACTCTCATACACTTAGTAGAGGTCTTAAACCTGTGTATTCCTGTTTATCCTCCACTAAGAATAAGGCCCTAAAAAGGTAAGAATATTCCTTTATTGTGATTTCCATTCTTTTACTGTGATTTACCTATCAAAGTTCCTGCAAACTCTACAAAGATGTTTGTATTTTGAATAAAACAACATGAAATAGACTCTCAATATTGTTTTCAAATACCTTTTTCCTATCTGAATATCAGACCTGTGCAGGGAGTTTAGAGATGCCTCATTTGAAGCCTCTCTTCTCTCTCCCTTTTCATCATTTTCCAATCACAGACTCAATTATTGCCTATTTCTGGGCCTCCCCTGTCCCATTCCCCTTGCTATTTGCTGCATCCTGATGGAAAGTTCATGCTGACCACCTCTGGCTTTATAGGGGAATGCACAGCCCAAAGGCACAGGGCAAGTTCAGTCTTAAGAAGACACTTGGATCTTTGTGGGTCTCTGAGTGGCCAAATACCACAACCAATGGAGACATTTCCCACATCTCAGATAACAAGGTGCTCTGTTTCAATCAGAATAGTAGGATCCTGGATTGAAGGATAAGGAGCTGGAAGGGTACAGGCACAGGTGAGGCCAACCATCAGAACCTTGAGAATTGTTGGTGTGGAGGCAGATGAGTCACAGCTACAGGGAGGACAGAGAAGACAGGGTTGGTCAGAATCGAAGTAATAAAAATGAGACCTAGATGAAAGGTGATGATACCCAGCCTGGTCATCCTTGCTCCTTTAGATAAAAAGCAAGACAAAATAAAACTATAACAAGAGGGAATATTTCCTCTGGCCAAAAGAACCCTGAACAGAAGCTGAGATGTAGAAAATTGGGGATCTCCCAGGATTAGGCACAGGTGCAGAAAGAGTAGTTGCCTAAAGACCTGGCCCCTGAGATTCCTCTTGTCACTCAGGTTGACATCTTTGTAGCAAGTGAGTTAAATTTGGAAAATGGAGAGAAGAGTAGAGGTGAATCACCCAGGAGAGTGGGCCATGTTATGAATGCTTAGTGGTGGGTCTGAAGGGAGATGAGATGTTGTACCAACCTGGGATGTGGAGCTGGCGTTGAGAGCATAAAACAGGCACAGAAGAGGCTAAGTCTGGAGCCAACAGTATTCCCTAATTCTGCAACCTTGAACAAGTCCCTCTTATGGTAAAGCCTCCCCAGATTCTGTCTTCTCTGGATTAAAATGAGAACATAGTGCTTAAGGATTCCCAGTATTATTTGCAGCTTTTAAGGGTTGTTGATCTTTAATCTTAGCCCTGAAAGAGACCATATTTTGCCTGATGCGAGCTTGGGTGCCTCCCTCCTTTTTAATCCAAGTAAAGGCATGTCCATATCTCTTCATATTTATAACTCAATATGTGAGCACAGTTCACTACAGTGCAAGACACAGATTTCAAATTTTGGGTTTTTTTGTTACTTTCAACTTTTGTTATGTTGGTACTTTGGGGTTTCTGTAGTATTAGGTTAAACATATTAATTCTAAATTCCATATTTCTTGGTAAAAACTACTTGCCCTCTGTCATTTCTTCTGCTTAGGCAGGTTTTTGAAAATGTGTCCTGACATTTTTCAGGTCAGGTCAGGAAGACCAGTTTCCAATGAAAGGGTAAAGAACTGGACAGGAGCTCTCACTGTAAGCCTAGAGCCTACCCTGAAAATTTCACTCACTCTTTCTTTTCAGATAAGCCAGTCAGAATTCAGTGAGAATACCCATGTCAGTCAGATTTTTCTTTCACCCTCATTTGTACAGACACTTCACTTACCTTTCCATAAACATATAAATAGCCCAAAACAATTGGGGATTATCTTTCATGAGCCCCATACTATTTTACTTCAGATGACAACATCTATGGAAGTACTGAATTATTAGAACTTCACTACTCACTAGCAATACCAGTCTTGCACACATATTAAAATCTCCTTACCAATCACATACCAATGAGAGAATTTGTCACATCACAGAAGTAAACGACTTTAGTCAATATGAAAATGTGGGGTCATGTTAGGTGATATGCTGAAGAAATGTATGTAATAGAGGAGCCCCAGAATGAGTCTTTTTTACAACCGTTTTTCAAAGGAGATATATACATCATATTTTCTCTCAGTGCATTATAGTTAGGTGGTAAATGGGAAGGGCACAGAGTGATAAAATGTGTTAAAGACTTGTTCCACAAATATTTATATCTTTCATCTATACTAAACCTTTCCCAGTTTAGAAATCTCCAAATTATAGCTTGTTTGCTCTCTGCCCCCTTCCTCTCCCTCTCCTTTTTCACAACATGATGGGTTTTTATCTCAAGACTCCAGGTAGTAGAAGAATATACAGTTAGCATATAGATAAGATTGAAATGCCTAGATTACTCTTACTCCTTAGCATTTGCTAAGATTCCCGTGTCTGGGAAGAAAAACCCAGAATGAAGCGATCAACAAACTTAACTATCTTCCATAGTCCCTCTGAGAAGTCACTCTCTCATGAAAAGTAAAACCTTCATACCATTAGCTATAACATGTTTCCAATTCAAGCCAGTATCATAAACACTTTGCTGGGTTTGTATGTTTTTCATTTCAGAATTTTTGCGTCTGGTTGGAGGGGATGAACGCTGCTCAGGTATAGTAGAAGTACATTCTATAAGAGGCTGGATTCCAGTGTCTGATGCAAAATTTACGTGGCCCACTGCTCAGGTCATCTGTGCAGAGCTGGAGTGTGGCAAAGCCGCATCTGTCCTAGCGAATGTGCCTTTCAGAGAGTCAGATGGACAGACGTGGGCTGAAAAGTTCCAGTGTGAGGGGCAGGAGCCTGCACTCCAGCTCTGTCCCAGAGTGCCCTGTCCAGGAGGTGTTTGCCAGCACAGTGGGGCTGTTCAAGTTGTCTGTTCAGGTGAGATGCACAACAGTATTTTAACCTCCCTCCATACTCTTTGGGGGTAAGAAAAATGAGATTTTGATAAAATCCTGTTTTGTCCTACCAGCATACACAGAAGTGCGGCTCATGAAAAATGGCATCTCTCAGTGTGAAGGACAAGTGGAGATGAATATTTCTGGAGAATGGAGAATGCTCTGTGCCTCTCACTGGAACATGGCCAATGCCAATGTTGTCTGTCGTCAGCTCAGCTGTGGAGTTGCCATCTCTACCCCAAAAGGAGCCTACTTTGTGAGAGGAGGTGGTCAGATCTGGAAAGCCCAATTTCACTGCTCAGGGACTGAGTCCTTCCTGTGGAATTGCCCAATGACTGCCCTGGGCATTCCTGACTGTACCCCTGGGAACACAGCCTCTGTGATCTGTTCAGGTAAGAGAAAGAGAAGGGCTACTTGGTACTAAGGGTATTTCTTGAGTAAACTGTCTCTAAGAGCAGAAAATGTGGAAAAGCTCCCTTCAAAAGTGAAGTATTTCAGAGAAATAAGAAATATGGTTGTTCTCAATGTTCATTCATGTTTTTGGTCAAGGTAAGAAGTGTGAAGAGGAATAATATTTTTTAAATAAATATTTTATTTAAGTACACTCATAGGGAATGTATAAGTAATAAGTGTATACCTCAGTCATGTACCCCACGCCAGATTAATAAAGGGAACATTAAAAGCACCCAGGTAGTCACCTTCCCCTCCCACCATTCATTCTGCCCTCCCTCCTCTCCAAACCAGACCATTTTCTAACTTTTACTACCATGGAATATCCTTGTCATTTTTTTGAACTTCATAAAAATCACAAAATGTTTTTTATGTGTCTAACTTCTTTGACTCCACGTTATACTTGCAATTCATTCATATTATTGCTTAAGTAGCATTTTATTCATTTTTCATGCTATAGAGTATTCCATTAAATAATCACATGACCATGTAATGATCAATGGCAGATTGCAGTTGTTTCCAATTCTTAACTATTACAAATATAATGCTACAAATTACCATGACAATGATTTCTGGTGCAAATATGTATACCAATTTTGTGTGTTTGATCCTTGGCCTTTTATTTACTCTCTTAATTGTATGATAGTCTTTGTTAAGCTGTCTTTAATTTTATTTTTTTATTTTAATATATTTTATTGATTATGTTATTACAGTTGTCCCATTGTTTTCTCCCATTTATTCCCCTCTGCCCTGCACTCCCCTCCCACCAGCATTCCCCCACCTTAGTTCATGTCCATGGGCCATAAATATAATTTCTTTGGCCTCACCATTTCCCATACTATTCTTATCCTCTCTCTGTCTATTTTGTACCTACCATGTATGCTTCTTATTCCTTGGATCTTTTTTCCCATTCCCTACTCCCCTTTCGTACTGATAACCCTCCATGTGATCTCCATTTCTGTGAATCTCTTGCTTTTCTAGTTGTTTGCTTAGTTCATTTTTGTTTTTGGTTTTCTAGGTTTGGTTGTTCATACTTGTGACTTTATCATTTCACTGTTCACATTTTTATCTTCTTTTTCTTAGATAAGTCCCTTTAACATTTCATGTACTAAGGACTTGGTGAAAATAAACTCCCTTAGCTTGACCTTATCTAGGAAACACTTTGTCTGCCCTTCCATTCTAAATGAGAGCTTTGCTGGATAAAGTCATCTTGGATGTAGGTCCTTGCCTTTCATGACTTTGAATAGTTCTTTCCAGCCCCTTCTTGCCTGTAAGGTTTCTTTTCAGAAATCAGCTGACAGTCTTATGGGAGCTCTTTTGTAGGTAACTGTCTCCTTTTCTCTTGTTGCTTTTGGGATTCTCTCCTTATCTTTAAGATTGGGCAATGTAATAATGATGTGCCTTGGTATGTGCTTCCTTGGGTCCAACTTCTTTGGGACTCTCTGAGCTTCCTGGACTTCCTGGAAGTCTATTCCCTTTGCCAGATTGGGGAAGTTCTCCTCCATTATATTTTCAAATAAGTTTTTAATTTCTTGCTCTTCCTCTTCTCCTGACACCCCTATGATTTGGATGTTGGAGTGTTTTAAGTTGTCCCAGAGGTTCCTAAGCACCTCCTCATTTTTTTTAATTCTTGTTTCTTCATTCTGTTCTGGTTGAATGTGTATTTCTTCCTTCTAGTCCAAATCGCTGATTTGAGTCCCAGTTTCCTTCTCTTCCCTGTTGGTTCCCTATACATTTTATTTTATATCACTTTTCATGGACTTCACTTTTTCCTCTACTTTATGACCATATTCAGCCGTTAATTCTGTGAGCATCCTGATTTCCAATGTTTTGAACTGTGCATCTGATAGGTTGGCTATCTCTTCATTGCTTAGTTGTATTTTTTCTGGGCCTTTGATCTGTTCTTTCATTTGGGCCAATTTTTTTTTGTCTCGGCACACCTGTTACATAGTAAGGGGTGGAGCCTTAGGTGTTCACCAGGGTAGGGCAACCCATGTCGCTGTGTTGTGGGGGAGGAGTCTGAGAGGAAACAATACCACTTGCTCAGCTCTCAGCCAGCATTCAATCACTTCCTCCTGACTGACAAGCTACCCACAAGCAAATTGGGCCCTTCTGGTGCTGATTCCTGGGTGGATAGGTTTATGTATGTTCTAGGACCCTGTGGGTCTCTCCAAGGAACTCTCCTGAGAGGCTGGGAGTTTTTCCTGCCACCTCAACCCACACAGGTTTTTCCAGTCAAAGGTTTTAAGCCTTTATTTCCCCATGCAGGGGGAAAATGGAGACAACCATATTTAAACAGCAACAAAAATTATAAAATAAAAGAAATTTTGACATTGTCAGAGACAGAACTCTCCATAAAGATGAACTCTAGTATTATAACATTGCTCTTAACATATAGCTTTCATCTCAGACCCCATCACTAGGTTATTATGAAATTCAAGTTCCTGCTCTTCAACCCTACTAACCGTCTGACTGTTTGTGTAGGAAACCAGACCCAGGGGCTGTCCCAGTGCAACTCAGTGTCTGCACCAGCAAGCTCTGCACTCTCAGAGGATATCGCTGCTAACTGCTCAGGTGAGGGCTCCCACAGGACCAGAAGACCCTCCTCTTTTTCACTGTGTACAAGTCCCATTGGCCTCTCTCTCCTTAGACAGCAGGCAGCTCCGCTTGGTGGATGCAGGCAGTCGCTGTGCTGGCAGGGTAGAGATCCTTCACCAGGACTCCTGGGGTACCATCTGTGATGACAGCTGGGACCTGAATGATGCTCAGGTGGTGTGCAGACAGCTGGGCTGTGGGGAAGCCCTCAATGCCACAGTCTCTGCTCACTTTGGGCCAGGATCAGGCCAGATCTGGCTGGATGATGTGAACTGCACAGGAAGGGAGTCCCACCTGAGGAAGTGCCCTTCCCAGGGCTGGGGACAGCACAACTGCCAGCACAAGGAGGATGCAGGGGTCATCTGCTCAGGTTTGCACTGCATATTGTCTATGGGCTGGGGAGGAGGTGGGTGCCCTCGAGGATGGCAGTCTGAGCCCTGATGGGTGTTGCTGAAAAAGGGCCATCAAAGAAAGAAATTTCCTTCCACAGGACTTGTCTGTCTAGCAGTTATGGCAGTTGGTGCTTTCCTTTCCTCCTGCAGCAGCTGGGGCTCTGGTCCTTTCTCCTTAGCAATATCTCCTGACAAAGCCATTTTTAATAGAGTTTCCATTGAAATCAGGGCTCACTCTTTAGTTGCTTATGGTGATAAATCTTGAGATCCTATTGATGCTATAATGGATTACTATAGGGTTTAAAACAACACAGATTTATTATTTTTATAGTTCTGTACATTAGAAGTCTGACAAATGTCTCACTGGGCTGACACCAAGGTCTCAACAGGGCTGCATCTCTTCTGGAGGGTCTGGGGAAGACTTTCTTTTTCTGGCTTTTCTACTTTCCAAAGCTGTTGTGCATTCTTTCCTGGGCTCCAAGCTCTTTTCTTCTTTCTTCAAACAAACATTGGCCCCCTCTGACCATTCTTCCTTAGCCACATTTCCATCTGAATTGAAACTGGGAAAGTTTATTTGTTTTTAAGGGCAGCGATTAGACTGAACTCACCTGGTTAATGCACAATATCTCAGATTAACCTCACCATCCCAAGGTCCTTATCTTAATACTAACATAGAGTCCCTTTTGCCATAAAAGGGAACATTTCACAGGTCCCATGGTGCAGAATGTAAAATTCTTTAGGGTTCCATTATTCCACCCACCACCCACTATCCACATTCTCTTTCACACACTCTGTCAGGAGTTTTGTCAGAAGCAGTATTCGGCCTTTCTCCCTGCAGAGGGTCCAGGCTGATGTTCCTCTCTGTTCATGTTCCACTACATAGTTGTAGTAGAGATACACAGACACAAATGGACAAAGTCAGGGAAAAGGAACACAAATTTCAGTCTTGCCATTCAGTGGCTGTCTCCTCAGTAGAATCAGTGATGAGTGTTCACATCCTTTGGGAAAAAGGAAGAATGCAGAGCTTTGAGTGGACCACTCACTGTGCCATGTTTCTGCATTTCACTTTTAGAGTTCCTGGCCCTGAGGATGGTGAGCGAGGACCAGGAGTGCGCCGGGTGGCTGGAAGTTTTCTACAATGGGACCTGGGGCAGTGTCTGCCGCAGCCCCATGGAAGCCATGACCTTGTCCATGATCTGTAGACACCTTGGCTGTGGGGACAGGGGGACCCTTGACACTTCTATTGATTATAGAGAAGGTTCTAGACCCCGGTGGGTGGATGGAATCCAGTGTCGGAACACTGATATGTCTCTCTGGCAGTGTCCTTCTGACCCTTGGAAATACAGTTCATGCAGTCCAAAGGAGGAAGCTTACATCACATGTGCAGGTATTTACTATCTGTTTCTATCGTAGCCCTTCCTACCCCTGTAGGATGCTGTCAGTGATACTTATATTTTCAAATCTAAGAAATTATTTTAAGATGAGTGTACAAGATGAAGATGGATAAAGATAACTTAATCCACATGTTGCAATCAATCTGGTTTAAAGGAAAAAATGAGAAAACCTGTGCTCCTAGCAATTATTATGAGAAATATCACAGGGATAGGCAAAAACATGTGGGACCACCATTAATACTCTGATAAAGTTTGTAAGGAATTGCTAACTAATTAGGAGGGTTAAAAGATATGCTCAGCACCTTAAAGTAAGGAAGGGGCAGAGCAGAGACTCAATTCTGATTGGTTCCTGTCTCAAACTCATGATATTTTACTCTTAAATGTATTTATACCACTTCTACTACTTCTCAAGTCAGTCTATTGGTTGAGTGTAATTGAGTGTCTGTAGGTACAAATTTATACTTTAAGTAAAAGAACAGAAGAGAGAAAAATTATAGTCACAGCTCTCATAGCATTTACAATCCAGTGATGAAAACACTCATGAGGCATTAATTTCAAGTTTTAAAAAATGAGAAAGTGCTTGGCATTCTGTAATAGGGGCAAAAGTAGAATTATATTTGGATGGAACCTGTAGGATGAGTATGAGTTCCTCAAAGGAAAAAAGTGGACAGGTCATTTTGGTGATTGTAAATACTGAGTTGGGATAGGACATGGTATATTTGAGGTACTGAGAAAATTCAGTCATGGCCAGAACAGAAAGAGGGTGAAGGAGAGGGACACAGGACTAGCTAAGGATTACCCTGGAACTGTGAGCAGAGCAAAGACCTCTGTTATGGTGGACCCATAAGAATAATGCTGTTAAAGAGGAATTTTTTTTTAATGCTTGGTTGCCACACCATGGAGAACTGCAGGGAGGTCAGTGGCCTCATGTCCCCATATTTTTCTGCATGAATTTGTCTCTTGTAAGAGGCCCTCAGTATATTGGTCTTCTTGGCTGATCCTTCACCTTCTGGGCCTTTCCCCTCTACTATTGTGTACTCTCTATTCCCTCATTCCATTCTCCCAAAATCTTCTGCAGAACCTGCTGGAATTTGGAGCCCATCATCTGTAAATTTTCTTATTCCCTCAGTGTTCCCTTCATTTCTATGTTGAGATCAAAGCCTGACTTTTTCATAAAAATACTGACTTTCTTGTCAATTAGAGACTTTGTGGTTTTTCTTTCAATACACTTTTCCCTATGCTGAGACTTGGATTAGGTATACTCCTTGCTCTCAATTATCATGTTCTTTTCTTTTTAAAAATATATTTAATTGGGTATGCTATTACAGTTGTCCCATTTTCCCCCCTTTGTTCTCCTCTGCCCTGCACCCCTGCTTCAACCAGCATTATCCTTGATTCATGTCCATGGGTCATACATATAAGTTCTTTGGCTTCTACATTTCCTATACTATTTTTAACCTCCCCCTGTCTATTTTATTTCCACCATTTATGCTTCTTATTCCTTGTACATTTTTCCTCATTCTCCCCCTTCATCTCCCTGCTGATAACCCCTCATGCGATCTCCATTTCTATAATTCTGTTCCTGTTCTAGTTGTTTGCTTAGTTTGTTTTTGTTTTTGTTTTTTTAGGTTTGGTTGTTCATACTTGTGACTTTGTTATCATTTTTCTGTTCATATTTTTATCTTCTTTTTCTTAGATAAGTCCCTTTAACATTTCATGTACTAAGGACTTGGTGAAAATAAACTCCCTTAGCTTGACCTTATCTAGGAAACATTTTGTCTGCCCTTCCATTCTAAATGAGAGCTTTGCTGGATAAAGTTATCCTGGATGTAGGTCCTTGCCTTTCATGACTTTGAATAGTTCTTTCCAGCCTCTTCTTGCCTGTAAGGTTTCTTTTCAGAAATCAGCTGACAGTCTTATGGGAACTCTTTTGTAGGGAACTGTCTCCTTTTCTCTTGTTGCTTTTGGGACTCTCTCCTTATCTTTAAGATTAGGTAATGTAATAATGATGTGCCTTGGTATGTGCTTCCTTGGGTCCAACTTCTTTGGGACTCTCTGAGCTTGCTTCTGCTGGGCTTGCACCAAGCTTGGCACTAGGGAATTTGTGTTCTTCCCACTAGTTTGTTTTAAGATTAGAAAAAGGACATTTCCTTTCTCTTTCATTTAAATTATAAAAACTTTGCTTACTTACTATAAGCAGGAAAGACATAAGATGTAAAAGAAGAATTTATCCTATGACTCCTTGTTCATTCATATCCTCCTGATAGAAACAGGATTAATGGACTAGTAAGTACTATTTTCTAAATTCATCCATTTTCACTAAAGTATATCCAAGCTCATACCCATAAAAGGATTTCTGTAGGTGGTATTTTATTATTGGTTTTTACAAAATTGAGACTCAATCATATACATTATTGTTAAATTGTTTTTTAATCATGTATCTTTGTGGTATTTTTTCCATTACCATTTATCCCACTTATATCTTCCTCTTCCACCCAACCTCCTCTCACCTGCAATTACCACATGGTCCTCTAAGTGGATATAACTCATTTAAATAATGGCAAATATTTCATTCATGAGAAATTGGTACTACAGTTCATATAACTATATGCTTATTTATTGGTAATCCAATTATTTTCAGTTTTCTCTATATAAATAATTATGTGATAAATATCATCATCATGTATCTCTACATACTAGTGACTTTATTGCTATAAGATTACTCCAAACGTTTATATTATTACATCAAATGATAAGCAGGTACACATACACATAAATCTTAGATATGGTCAAATTATTTTCTCAGGTTAATTATTTTCAATTATGTTCTTCATAACTAGATAGAAGATGCTGAGATTTTTCAAGAACTTGACTCTTAAGCCAAATCACTTAGATGCTCCAAAATCAATATATGCTTATAAGCCCACAAGTCTCATTCTATTTAAAGTCTGAAAAAGGGTAACAGTTGCTTTGTTTCTCTTTCTTTTTCCTCCTTCCCTTCTCTCTCTTTCCTTCACTCTCTTCTTTTCATCTCTTCCTTCCTTCTTTTGCATATTTAGTGTTTTCTCTTCCCTCAACACTTTTTCCTGCCTCTTGGTTTGTACCCCACCCCATCACGCTACACCCCATTCAGGTATACTTTCGACAATATGATGAGAGTTGCCTGAAATCCACAGCAGTGAGACATAGATATTTTGTAGGCAGAGCCTCACTCCCTCCCATGTCTCTCTTTCTTCATCTTTATGTTCTTACTCTTCTGAAAGACTGAAGAACTATTAAACTATAAGACCTATTGATGACAACTTTTTACAATCAAACGCAATGAATGAAGGGTAGTGACATTTCAATCCTGAAGTCACAATGACCCGAGAGAGTTCCTGCCCTCATTTTCAGAGATGTTCTCTGCATAGGGCAGGAGGTTTGATAGATGATATGGAAAGATAAGACCAACTCTGACATTTTATGGCAAGTATTGTGAATACTTCTATTTTCTTGTGTTGTTTTGAATTTATGTCCATTTTCTTTGGCTTTAAATCTTATGTGTGTTTTGTTTTGATCCTCTGTATCTTATGAAGGTAGTTTTTCTTAGTCTATTTATTCAACTCTATGAAAGACATTTCTGCTTCACTAACTAGCCAGTTATCTTTCTCTAAATTCTACTTTTTCTAGTTCTTTTTAAAAAAAGTATCCTGTCCTCATAGTAATCTTTTATACTTATCCATTTTTCACGATGAAAAAACTATGAGGAAAGTTTACAATCTGTTGTACAATTTCTCTTTAAAAAGTATAAGTGCACTATTGAATACCAATTATTTCTGTGATTCTGGACTTATTTTTAACATTCACTATTTATTACCACATATCATTAATAGTAATTTATATTTCCATTGTCTTCTTGCTGAAGACCAAGATTTAAAAGTATTATATTTTGCTGCATTTTATTTACTGATTCATTAATTCAATAAATGTTCATCAAGCTCCTATACATAACATTTATAGAAGATTCTCAATGTATACTTCTTAAATGAATGTGTACAATGTGCCAGGTACTCTCCTAATGACAGAAACACAGAAGTAAAAAAATATGCAAGGTCCTTCCATTAGGGGCATTTTCATTCAGGAGTGTGTGTGTGTGTGTGTGTGTGTGTGTGTGTGTGTGTGTGTGTGTTTGTAGCAGAATGTAGAGAGTGATAAAAAAGTAAACAAATAAGGTAATTCTAGCTCATGGTAGAGACTAGGGTCCAGTGAATGTCTTAGTAACTCAGGCCATTAAACTAAGTATGAGGCTTGTGTTTCTTATCACTGGACTGAGCCAAGGACCCTACATAACCTTGTTGCGAGGCAAGACCACAGTCAGCAGTGCCTGATCCAATGCTTCCCCACTGTCTGCTTCTGCAGGAATGAGACCCAAGAGCTGTCCCACTGCTGCCCCCTGCACAGGTACATCAGCCCCTCCCACCTCCTCTGTGGGCTCCCAGGGCACCTTCTCTCCCACCAGGGATAGTAACAGGAGGTACTACTATCTTATCAGAGAAACACAAGCTCCGACTCAGGAATGGAGACACTGAGTGCTCAGGACGAGTGGAGGTTTGGCACAATGGCTCCTGGGGCACAGTGTGTGATGACTCCTGGAGCCTGGCAGAGGCCGAGGTGGTGTGTCAGCAGCTGGGCTGTGGCTCTGCTCTGGAAGCCCTGCAGGAGGCAGCATTTGGCCCAGGAAAAGGGCTCATCTGGCTGGATGAAGTGCAGTGCAGGGGCAGGGAGTCCTCCCTGTGGGCCTGTGCTGCACAACCCTGGGGGCAAAGTGACTGCAAGCATGAGGAGGATGCTGGAGTGAGGTGCTCTGGTGAGTGGTGGAGAGTGGGTTGGGCTCTGGTTGAACTGGAGCTGGGGTGGGGCAATGGGCTGGGCTGGAGTAAAATGGGCAGTTGGTATTCAGAAAGCATCTAGGGGTTGCAGCCCTGGATTAAGAAAGGGGGAGCTGGGAAGACTCAGTACTGATATTATGCTAACCAAAGGGAGGTTTCAAGGCTCAGATGAGAAAAGTGGGTTACCCTGTACCCTGGCCAATCCCTGTGCTCCCAACTCCTGTTTTTCTCTCTAGGTAAAAGATCAACATTGCCAACCACTACAGCAGGTACAGTGCCACCGTGCATGGGTGTGAGACCATATTCAAATTCTTGGGACATGTTCTGTAGAATCTCTGATAGAATTAGCCAACTCAGAAAGGAAAGATCCCAAGGAGCAACTGGGTGCTGGGGAGTTATCAGGGTGTTTTCCTTGGACAAACTTCCCCTTCCTTGGTTCACTGTGCCAGAAGTTTCTCATGCCTTCAGGCTATGGTAGGCTGGCTCTAAGGACTTCTTCACCTGCCCATGATTGTAGCTCCTCAGCAGCCGACACCTATGCCAAGATTGTTCGGTGCTCTAGTCTGGTGGAGCCCAAGAGAAGGGGCTGAAGCTGTGCCCTGGCCCTCAGAGATTCTTGTACTTCCAGTACTCCCTGATAACCCCCAGCACTCCCATGGACCATCCGGGAGTGGAGTTGAATTTATCTTAGGACATGGCCTGAGACAGTGCGCACCTGGGTGGCAGTCAATCCCATTATGTTGGAAGCTGGTACATCACTGTCCTGAGCTCTCTGGAAATATTGGTATAAGTGACATTAACTGTACATGTGCCCTTCTCCAAATCCTCTTGGCTTTGTTCTTTTTAGGGACCAGATCTGTCCCAAGGCCTGTCCCTGGCATCTTCTCCCTGCCTGGGATCCTTTGCCTCATCCTGGGGGCCCTTCTCTTCCTGGTCCTCATCATCCTGGTGATTCAACTGCACAAACAGAAAATAGAACACAGAGGTGGGCTGCAGGGAGTACTGAATAACATGGAAAGTGTGTGCAGGCAAGAAATAGGACGGGGCACCAAGGGGGAAAATGGGCAAGGTATCTGTCCTTACTGCACTAGTTTGCAAAATCCATCTGCTCCTGGTATTCAGTTAAAGGCTGAATATACAAATGTTTTAGAGGGTAGGATGTGAGCTCTCATAAGACATGGCTTTTTATGTGAGATAGGAAAGAGTAGGAGCTGAGCTTTGGATACAGGGTCAGACAAAGGAAGAAGGTGCAGGCATGGTGCTTGGGGATAAGACTATAGAGGTTTTTTTCCACTTGTGAGCATAGGGGACAATGAAGGGTCAGCTGTTGGTTCAAAGCTGTGTCAGGGGGCAATCTCTGACCTGCTGGTGGTTTGCTCAGCCTTGTCCAGCTTCGAAGATGCTCTTGACCAGGCTGTGTATGAGGAGATTGATTATCTTGTAACACCAAAGAAGGAGGATCTACTTAGCAGCCCAGGTGAGTGTCCCTGCCTTGCCCTCTTGGGACCTCTACTTCTCAGCTATCCACTGGCTGGGAGCCAGGTCTTCTCAGCATCTGCAGATTCCACATATACCCCAGGCTCACAGAGGCAAGAGGAGCCTCTCCAGATCCACCATGAGCTCTAAGCCATCCCTTGACACCACAAGAGCCATGCTAACTAAACGTTTCTTCTCAGCCTTACTGTAGAGCCTCTGGGTGGAAAGTGTCATTCTGTTTGTTTTTTGTGATTTTTTTCTCCACTTTAGAGTTCCTGTCAGATGACTCAGTAACAAAACTGCCATATTACACTGGGGATGGTGAGTAGAATAGTGACTATAAACTCTTCTAGGTAGTGGAGGTGGATCTGTCCTGGCTGCGCAATGGGGCAAAGGAACTTCCCCCAGAGATGAGAGCCAGGGGAAACAGTCTCCCTTTGACTGAGAGGAGAGGGCTCCCTTGTCTCACTGGGCTCCAGTGTCCCTCTTATCTGACAGTTCTGCAATGCCGCATTATGGGGCCAGGCTCTCAGTGTCGAGAACTACCCTCATTCAATCACAGGAGCACAAATTATTTTCAAAAGTAACATCTCGGAAGTATTACCTGATAAAATATTTTAGTAATGGTCCTTTTTGTGAGATTATTTGAAAAACATTTAGTGTTAATCAAGAAATACCTAGATATTTGGATCATTTTCTGGTTTATTGGCACACAGAAATGAAATACATGGCCTTGGAAAGACCCATGGTGTGAATGGTACCCTTGTTTTGCAGCCATCAGAATCTGGGTCAGAAAGGAGTATAGGTGTTACCTAAACCAACTCATTTACTGTGGTACCACATGATCCCCTTGTCTGCCCATAGAAGCCTCAGCTGAGAGGACTGATGCCTTTAGCGAGGGTTATGATGAAGCAGAAGAGGTACCAGTGCCCCAGGCTCCTTCTGCTTCTCAGATGGGTGAGGAGGAAGTGCCCCTGGAGGAAAATGGAGTGAGAGTTTTTCAGACAGGTAAGTGGGATTAATTAATCCCTGTCATATTTTGTCTCTGGCCTGAAATGGATGAGTTTCAACTTTTTATTGCCCGTTCTCCTTGTAGAGTTAAAACTTGGATGACCTCATATGTTTGATAGCATTGCTTAGACCATGCGCCTTTCTCTAGCTTTCACATTTCTTGGGAGGGCCAGGAAGCACTATGTAGTCATGGTAGCTGTTTTTCCATAACTTCAAACTTTTTTTTCTTTATTGTTTTTCATGCATAACTGTCTCCATTTTCCCTGCACCACTCTCCCCAACCCACGGAACCCCACCTCCCACCCTCACACCTACACTCCTTTGGTTTTGTCCGTGGGTCCTTTATATAAGTTCCCTGATGACCCTTTCCCTTCTTCTCTCTTGTCCCCTCTGGTTACTGTCAGTTTGTTCTTTATTTCAATATTTCTTGGTATATTTTGTTAGCTTGTTTGTTTTGTTGATTAAGTTTCACATATAAGTAAGATTACGTGGTATTTCATTACCTGGCTTTTATCACTTAGCATAATGCTCTCCAGTTCCACCCATGTTGTCATTAAGGGAATGATGGCCATCATAAACTGTACAACAAACAAATGCTGGCGAGGTTGTGAAGAAAATGGAACCCTAGCGCACTCTTGGTGGGAATGCAGACTGGTGCAGCCACTGTAGAAAACAGTATAGAATTTCCTCAAAAAACTAAAAATGGAACTGGCTTTTGACCGGGCAATTTCACTGCCTGGATTACACCCTAAGAATCCTGAAACACCAACTTAAAAGAACCTGTGCACCCCAATGTTCATAGCAGCAGAATTCACAGTAGCCAAGTGCTAGAAGTAACCTAAGTACCCATCAGTAAATGAGTGGATCAAAAAACTATGGTACATTTACACAATGAAATACTATGCAGCAAAAAGAAAGAAGGAGCTCCTACCCTTTTTTCTTCTAAATATTTTATTGTTTATACTGTTACAATTGTCCTAATTTTCCCCCTTTGCCCTTCTCCACCCAGTCCACCCCTCCTTCCCACTGTCAATCCCCACCTCATTGTCCATAGCTATGGTTCATTCATATATGTTCATTGACTAATCCCTTCGCCTCCTTTCAACCAGCCCCTTTTTCCTCCCTCCCCTCTTACAGCTGTCAATCTGTTGCATGCTTTCGATGCCTCTACCTCTATTGTGCTCATTGGTTCCTGGTTTTTATTAGATTCTGCTTATAAGTGATATCAAATGGTATTCATCTTTAATTGACTGGCTTATTTCACTTAGCATAATAGTCTCCATGTCCACCCATGCTATTGTAAAAGGTAAAAATTTCTTTTTTTTTCACTGCTGCATAGTATTCCATTGTGTAAATGTACCTCTTGCATGAGCCCAAACCAGGGCCTGAACCCAAAATGTAGGCATATGTCCTGACCAGGAATCAAACCCATGACCTTTCAGTTTGCACTGTGATGCCCAACCAACCGAGCCTCACCAGGCAGGGCAGTTATCAAATCCTTTTAAATTCAGACTTTCCTCTCCATCACTTCTTAATTTTTCAGGAAATCCTCATTTCTTGTCCATCTATTTATAAAGCCTTCTAAGCAAATTACATCTATTCATCTCTCTTTACTGGAAGTTGATGGAGGACAAATTAGCACTCTCCCACAGACCTGCATCTAAGTGGGCAAGAAAGCAAGGAAGAGGAGTATTAGAGGAGATCCAGAAGGAATATAGACAGATGAATCAGGAACTTTTAGTTGTATCTGTTTTACAGATTTAAAGATATGGTATAGTCATCAAAATTAATGTGAGGTATAATATATATAACAGCAACAGCACTAAGCATAAGAGTAATGGAAACATACTGCTGCAAAGTTCTTATATTTTACCTGATGTAGTACAGTATTATCTCTAAGGAGACTATGATAAGATAATGGTGCATGTCATAATTTTGAGAGAAACTGTTAAAAATTGATGTAAAGTTATATAGCTAAAAAAAACAGTAGAAGAATTAAACTAGAATATTACATATGTTCAGTTAACTAAAAAGAAGGCAGGAAAAGATAAATAAGAGACATAACAAATAAAAAAATAGAGAGCAAAATCATGGTGCTAAATCCATATGTAACATTATACACACACACACACGTGTAATAATATAACTTTTATAGTTATAATATATAATTATGTTATAGTTATATTATAACTTTAATATAACATATTACAATTAGATGTAAATGGACAAAATAGTCCAATTAAAAGGCATAAGTTGACTACTGTACATCAATTAGTGTAGCTAAAATGAACAATAGTGATCATATCAAATGCTGATGAAGATGCAGAAACACTGGTTCTCTCATACATTGCTGGCAGCAATATAGCCACTTGGCAGTGTCTTCAAACTAAACATGCATTTACCATAGGATACAATCATTACATTCTTGGACATTTACCCCAGGGGAATAAAAACTTATGTTGGCACAAAACCTGTATGGAAATGTTCTTAGCAATTGTATTTATAAAAACAAAATATTGGAACTAGTCCAAATGTCTTCAACGGGTCCGTGGTTGAACAAACTCTGATACATTGGTACAATGGAATACATTTGTACAATAAAAAGGAATGGACTACTGATACATACAGCAACCCAAATGGGCTTAAGGAATATTATGCTTAGTGAAAAAAGTTGCAGAATGTTACATCCAAAGGTTGTAGAATTCTATTTATATAACATTATCAAATCAACAAATCTATACAGGCAGAGAACAGATTAGCCATTGCCAAGTAATAAGGAGAAAGGTGAGATGGAGTGGGCAGTGAATGTGAATACAAAGAAGTAGCATAAAGGAGTTCTTTAGTGGTGACTGACTAGTTCTATATCTTGATTTTATTTATGCTAGGCTTTTCTTGTATTTTGTATAATTTTTCAAGTGTAATTTTTACTACCATGTAAGCACAAACTCATACTTTGTCCATAATAATAGAGAAGATTGCTGGGTAGTAAATGTAATACTAAATTTCCTTGTTTATGTCTACAAATGGCATAATCATTTTTATTACTTCTTTGTTTCTTCTTCCACTTACTGACTCCTGGGTGGTGAGTAGGTTTCATATTTTAATTACATAATCTTTTACATCTTCCAATAGATATGAGCTTTTAATCTTAACTTATGGACAACCACATACCATGTGATATTACATTATGCTAAGTGATAACCACCTCCTTTGTAGTCATTCAGAAACTAAAATTAACTCTCCACTTAACATACTTACTTCTCTGTAGTCCATCTTCTCCTTTTCCTCTGGTCACATCACATAACTTTCACAGCTCTTGTGAAAGGTGCTATGCAATTATTTCTGTACAGTTCTTTTCTTGATTGATGGAGGATGGAAGTGCAAAAACTCTTATCCTGCAGATATTCACTTTATTTTCCTTGCCTTATTTTAAATATTGATTTGGATTTGTAAATTATATTTCTGGGTTTATACCTAAACACAAAAAATGTTTCCCATATGTTCCAGATCCATTTACCTGACTATGGCCCAAAGTTCACATTGGGACTAATAGGCTGATATACATTACATCAGAAGAAATAGTGACAGGAAAAATAGTGCTCACACAAAGGTTGGTGCAAAGCCATCCTTTCAAACTCTCTTTAGAGCAAGAGGATCTTCAGGATCTCACTGACATGGCTTCTCTTTGCTTGATGCTGCTATTCAGAGTCTGATTCTGATTTAGAAAACAGGCCAGTCTTATTTCCTCTCAATAGGAGCTGAGTCTCTTTAACTAAGAATTTTATGTAGTTAGGACAATTATTGAGTTGAGGAATTAAAACTCAGATTGTGTCCAGGGAATTATTGCCACTTAAAGAGATCCAGTGAAACATTCCCAATAGGATATACAAAAAGGTGAAGAGTGATGTGCAAAAGAACTGAGATCATCAATTATTGAATTTGTCATAGTGCTCATTTGATTGTTGAATGAAGTCAGAAATTCTAAATGCTTATTATTGGTTAGCTAGAGTGAATGTTGCTTCTGTTTGTCCTTTGTGTTTGAATAATATAGCACACAGAGACAGAATGAACTCTAGTTTTACCTTTTCTGAAAAAAGGAATTGTGATAGCAAGGGTCAGATAACATTCATTCAAGACATGAACCTATTAAAAGCAGTAATAGCAACAAGAAAAATAAAGTACATAGGAATAAAACTAACCAAGGAGGTAAAAGACCTGTACTCAGAAAACTACACAACACTGAAGAAAGAAATTAAGGAATACACAAACAAATTGGAAACATGTACCATGCTCATGGACTGGAAGAATTAACATCATCAAAATGGCCATACTACCCAAAGCAATTTATACATTCAATGCAATCCTTATTAAAGTACCCATAACACATTTCACAGATATAGAACAAACATTTCAGAAATTTATATGGGACTATAAACAACCCTGAATAGCTGCAGCAACTTTGAGAAATAAGAACAAAGCAGGAGGGATTCACAATACCTGACATCAAACTGTATTACAAGGCCACTGTAGTCAAAACAGCCTAGTATTGGCATAAAAACAGGCACATAGACCAGTGGGACACAACAGAGAGCCCAGAAATAAACCCAAGTCTCTACAGTCAATTAATATTTGACAAAGGGGGCAGCAACATAAAATCGAGTAAAAATAGCCTCTTCAACAAATATTGTTGGGAAAACTGGACAGCTACATGCAAAAAAAAAAAATGAAACTTGAGCACCAACTTACACACCATACACAAAAATAAATTCAAGGTGGATAAAAGGCTTAAATATAAGCCATGTCACCATTAAAGTCCTAGAGGAAAACATAGGCAGGAAAATCTCAGATATTTCATGCAGCAGCATTTTTACTGATATGTCTCCTAGAGCAAGGGACATAAAGGAAAGAATAAACAAATGGGATATCATCAAAATAAAAAGCTTCTGCATGGCTAAAGAAAACAGTATTAAAATAAAAAGAGAACCAACTGTATGGGA